GACTTAGAAAACCTAGTTAAATGCTTATATTAGTGTCAAATTTAAAAAAAGTAGTAGAAAAAGTACTTTTTGGTTTTTTTTAACATATTTTCAGCTCAAAATGAGGAAAAACTTGTCAAAAACTTAAAATTCATAGTTTTCTTCAAATTACAACACACATAATTTCCTGGAAATTAAACTTTGCTAAACTAGACTAGACTAGACTAGACTATAGACTAGACTATAGACTAGACTGTAGACTAGACTATAGACTAGACTATAGATTAGACTACAGACTAGACTAGACTATAGACTAGACTAGACTATAGACTAGACTATAGACTAGACTAGACTATAGACTAGACTAGACTATAGACTAGACTAGACTAGACTATAGACTAGACTATAGACTAGACTATAGACTAGACTATAGACTAGACTATAGACTAGACTATAGACTAGACTATAGACTAGACTATAGACTAGACTATAGACTAGACTATAGACTAGACTATAGACTAGACTTAGACTAGACTATAGACTAGACTATAGACTAGACTATAGACTAGACTATAGACTAGACTATAGACTAGACTATAGACTAGACTATAGACTAGACTATAGACTAGACTATAGACTAGACTATAGACTAGACTATAGACTAGACTATAGACTAGACTAAAGACTAGACTATAGATTAGACTATAGACTAGACTATAGACTAGACTATAGACTAGACTATAGACTAGACTATAAACTAGACTATAGACTAGACTATAGACTAGACTATAGACTAGACTATAGACTAGACTATAGACTAGACTATAGACTAGACTATAGACTAGACTATAGACTAGACTATAGACTAGACTATAGACTAGACTATAGACTAGACTATAGACTAGACTATAGACTAGACTATAGACTAGACTATAGATTAGACTATAGACTAGACTATAGACTAGACTATAGACTAGACTATAGACTAGACTATAGACTAGACTATAGACTAGACTATAGACTAGACTATAGACTAGACTATAGACTAGACTATAGACTAGACTATAGACTAGACTATAGACTAGACTATAGACTAGACTATAGACTAGACTATAGACCAGACTATAGACTATAGTCTAGTCTATAGACTAGACTATAGACTAGACTATAGACTAGACTATAGACTAGACTATTGACTAGACTATAGACTAGACTATAGACTAGACTATAGACTATAGTCTAGTCTATAGACTAGACTATAGACTAGACTATAGACTAGACTATAGACTAGACTATAGACTAGACTATAGACTAGACTATAGACTAGTCTATAGACTAACCTACAGACTAGACTACAGACTAGACTATAGAGTAGACTATAGACTAGACTATAGACTAGACTATAGACTAGACTATAGACTAGACTATAGACTAGACTATAGACTAGACTATAGACTAGACTATAGACTAGACTATAGATATAGACTAGACTAGATTAGACTATAGACTAGACTATAGACTAGACTATAGACTAGACTATAGACTAGACTATAGACTAGACTATAGACTAGACTATAGACTAGACTATAGACTAGACTATAGACTAGACTATAGACTAGACTATAGACTAGACTATAGACTAGACTATAGACTAGACTATAGACTAGACTATAGACTAGACTATAGACTAGACTATAGACTAGACTATAGACTAGACTATAGACTAGACTATAGACTAGACTATAGACTAGACTATAGACTAGACTATAGACTAGACTATAGACTAGACTATAGACTAGACTATAGACTACTAGACTAGACTATAGACTAGACTATAGACTAGACTATAGACTAGACTATAGACTATAGACTAGACTATAGACTAGACTATAGACTAGACTATAGACTAGACTATAGACAAGACTATAGACTAGACTATAGACAAGACTATAGACTAGTCTATAGACTAGTCTATAGACTAGACTATAGACTAGACTATAGACTAGACTATAGACTAGACTATTGACTAGACTATAGACTAGACTATAGACTAGACTATAGACTATAGTCTAGTCTATAGACTAGACTATAGACTAGACTATAGACTAGACTATAGACTAGACTATTGACTAGACTATAGACTAGACTATAGACTAGACTATAGACTATAGTCTAGTCTATAGACTAGACTATAGACTAGACTATAGACTAGACTATAGACTAGACTATAGACTAGACTATAGACTAGACTATAGACTAGACTATAGACTAGACTATAGACTAGACTATAGACTAGACTATAGACTAGACTATAGACTAGACTATAGACTAGACTATAGACTAGACTATAGACTAGACTATAGACTAGACTATAGACTAGACTATAGACTAGACTATAGACTAAACTATAGACTAGACTATAGACTAGACTATAGACTAGACTATAGACTAGTCTATAGACTAACCTACAGACTAGACTACAGACTAGACTATAGAGTAGACTATAGACTAAGACTAATAGACTAGACTATAGACTAGACTATAGACTAGACTATAGACTAGACTATAGACTAGACTATAGACTAGACTATAGACTAGACTATAGACTAGACTATAGACTAGACTATAGACTAGACTATAGACTAGACTATAGACTAGACTATAGACTAGACTATAGACTAGACTATAGACTAGACTATAGACTAGACTATAGACTAGACTATAGACTAGACTATAGACTAGACTATAGACTAGCCTATAGACTAGACTTATAGACTAGACTATAGATTAGACTATAGACTAGACTATAGATTAGACTATAGACTAGACTATAGACTACACTATAGACTAGACTAACAATGATGAAAACATAGTAAAATTTTAAAAGAAACCAGTTTTGCGATAGTTTAAAAAGAAAAGTAGTAGAATTGGTACTTTTTGGAAATATAGTACTTTTCTGTATTTTAACACGTTTTAAGCTAAAAACAATGGAAAACTTATAAACAATTTAAAAACATTTAATTTAGTGAGTTTTAAAAAGTAGAAAAGGTACTTTTGCGAAAAGGGAAGTTGGGGAAAAGTACTTTTGGAATATAGTACTTTTGGAAAATAGTACTTTTTTGGTATTTTAACATACTAACGACTTAGAAAACCTAGTTAAATGCTTATATTAGTGTCAAATTTAAAAAAAGTAGTAGAAAAAGTACTTTTTGGTTTTTTTTAACATAAAATGAGGAAAAACTTGTCAAAAACTTAAAATTCATAGTTTTCTTCAAATTACAACACAATAATTTCCTGGAAATTAAACTTTGCTAAACTAGACTAGACTATAGACTAGACTATAGACTAGACTATAGACTAGACTGTAGACTAGACTATAGACTAGACTATAGATTAGACTACAGACTAGACTAGACTATAGACTAGACTAGACTATAGACTAGACTATAGACTAGACTAGACTATAGACTAGACTAGACTATAGACTAGACTAGACTAGACTATAGACTAGACTATAGACTAGACTATAGACTAGACTATAGACTAGACTATAGACTAGACTATAGACTAGACTAGACTAGACTAGACTATAGACTAGACTATAGACTAGACTATAGACTAGACTATAGACTAGACTATAGACTAGACTATAGACTAGACTATAGACTAGACTATAGACTAGACTATAGACTAGACTATAGACTAGACTATAGACTAGACTATAGACTAGACTATAGACTAGACTATAGACTAGACTATAGACTAGACTATAGACTAGACTATAGACTAGACTATAGACTAGACTAGACTAGACTAGACTATAGACTAGACTATAGACTAGACTATAGACTAGACTATAGACTAGACTATAGACTAGACTATAGACTAGACTATAGACTAGACTATAGACTAGACTATAGACTAGACTATAGACTAGACTATAGACTAGACTATAGACTATAGACTAGATAGACTAGACTATAGACTAGACTATAGACTAGACTATAGACTAGACTATAGACTAGACTATAGACTAGACTATAGACTAGACTATAGACTAGACTATAGACTAGACTATAGACTAGACTATAGACTAGACTATAGACTAGACTATAGACTAGACTATAGACTAGACTATAGACTAGACTATAGACTAGACTATAGACTAGACTATAGACTAGACTATAGACTAGACTATAGACTAGACTATAGACTAGACTATAGACTAGACTATAGACTAGACTATAGACTAGACTATAGACTAGACTATAGACTAGACTATAGACTAGACTATAGACTAGACTATAGACTAGACTATAGACTAGACTATAGACTAGACTATAGATAGACTAGTCAGAGATAGACTACAGATCAGACTGTAAACTTGACTATAGCCCAGACTAAGGCTAGATTCCAGATATTAGACTATATAAATTAAGAAACATGTTTTCCCATACCTTACAATTCCAGGTTAAGTGTGAAAGATATGAGAAATTTTAGGGACATATTAAAATAATTTCGTCATTCCAACATTGAAAGCTTATTTTAGCATTAAAAGCTCTTTATATTAATTTTACCATAGGAAACAAGTATGTAACTCCAGCGTTACCATTGAAAATGTGCGAAAAGTCGCATTAAAAGTGAATTTTGAAAAATTAAAAATAAAGTTTATTTTGAAATCATTGATATTTTCTTTCAAAAATGGATTTTTTTTTTTTTTTTGTTAATAAAAAATATGAAAAAATTGCTTGTTTTAACGAAGTTAAACACGTTTAAATTGAAAAAAGCTTATTTGCGTTTAAAAAACGATTTTTAACTTATTTTTCTATTAAGTAATTTTTAAGTATAGTTTTAGTAACCCCCCCAAAAACCGCTACAGTCAGCAATACTTATGTATGTGCTCTCTGGGAGAAAGAAAAAAAAGCTTTTTCAAACTCACCTCATTTGTTTATCAACAAAAGAAAATCTTTTATGGAACAGCTGTTGATATAGAAATTTATAATTTTTTTTACTTTTAAAGCAATCTATAAGATACATAAATGAATTGAAAATTAATTTTAAGTTTAATTTATAAAAATCGCTATACCGATTAATAACACAAAAAGAGAATCGGAGAAATAAAATTTATAATAAAATAATTTCATCATTTTTTTAAAGAAAAACAAAAAACATAATCTAAAGAAAAAATGTCAATGTTTGGAGCAGAATTTGAACAGATATGGCCCAAAGCCGGTACACAATTAAAATTAAGCGAATTTGGACGTAAACTATTGAAACAATGTGAAACAATAAAGAAGCCGGAGAACAAAGAAGTGGATGTTAATGAATTTAAAAGAAAATCTTCAAATTTTCCTTTGGAGGTAAGTTTATTAAAAAAGTTAAGAGATTTTTTCTATGAATTAATGAAAATGTTTTAAATATTTAAAGTTTGGCACAAATACTTGTCGTGTTTTAAGCCAACCAAAGGAACGTTATCCATTTATACAAAAACAAATTGCCTCCGCCTATCCGGTCATACATGAAAGGGTTTTACAATTGTATTTGGATTTCTTGGAACATAAATGTCAATATGGTAAGTACCTGTTTAAGAATGGTTGTTAAATATTGTAATTAATAATATGTTTTTGTTGTTTTAACATAATTTCACAATATATGACAATAATTTTGTTGTTGTTTAAAATAAAACAAAGTGTAGAAAGAAAGTTGCCAGATGTAAAGAACAATATTTGTAGGAATCGAAAAAAATGAAATTTTTTTAAAATTTTTAAAACTTAGACTAGACTATAAAATACACTATATTATATACTAGATTATATACCAGACTATGGACCAGACTACTATAGACTAGACTATAGACTAGACTATAGACCAGACTAGACTATAGACCAGACTAGACTATAGACTAGACTAGACTATAGACTAGATTAGACTTTAGACTAGACTAGACTATAGACTGGACTAGACTAGACTAGACTAGACTAGACTATAGACTAGACTATAGACTAGACTATAGACTAGACTAGACTATAGACTAGACTAGACTATAGACTATAGACTATAGACTGTAGACTATAGACTATAGACTATAGACTATAGACTACAGACTATAGACTATAGACTATAGACTATAGACTATAGACTATAGACTATAGACTATAGACTATAGACTATAGACTATAGACTAGACTAGACTAGACTATAGACCAGACTAGACTATAGACTAGACTAGACTACACTAGACTAGACTAGACTAGACTAGACTAGACTATAGACTAGACTAGACTAGACTATAGACTAGACTAGACTAGACTAGACTAGACTAGACTAGACTAGACTAGACTAGACTAGACTAGACTAGACTAGACTAGACTAGACTAGACTAGACTAGACTAGACTAGACTAGACTAGACTAGACTAGACTAGACTAGACTAGACTAGACTAGACTAGACTAGACTAGACTAGACTAGACTATAGACTAGACTAGACTATAGACTAAACTATAGACTAGACTATAGACTAGACTAGACTATAGACTAGACTATAGACTAGCCTATAGACTAGACTATAGACTAGCCTATAGACTAGCCTATAGACTAGACTATAGACTAGACTATAGACTAGACTATAGACTAGCCTTAGACTAGACTATCGACTAGACTATAGACTAGACTATAGACTAGACTATAGACTAGACTATAGGCTAGACTATAGGCTAGACTATAGGCTAGACTATAGACTAGACTATATGCTAGACTATAGACTAGACTTTAGACTAAACTATAGACTAGACTATAGACTAGCCTATACACTAGACTATAGACTAGACTATAGACTAGCCTATACACTAGACTATAGACTAGCCTATAGACTAGACTATAGACTAGACTTTAGACTAAACTATAGACTAGACTATAGACTAGCCTATACACTAGACTATAGACTAGACTATAGACTAGCCTATACACTAGACTATAGACTAGCCTATAGACTAGACTATAGACTAGACTATAGACTAGACTATAGACTAGACTATAGACTAGACTATAGACTAGACTATAGACTAGACTATAGACTAGACTATAGACTAGACTATAGACTAGACTATAACTAACTATAGACTAGACTATAGACTAGACTATAGACTAGACTATAGACTAGACTATAGACTAGACTATAGACTAGACTATAGACTAGACTATAGACTAGACTATAGACTAGACTATAGACTAGACTATAGACTAGAATATAGACTAGACTATAGACTAGAATATAGACTAGACTATAGACTGAATATAGACTAGACTATAGACTAGAATATAGACTAGACTATAGACTAGACTATAGACTAGACTATAGACTAGACTATAGACTAGACTATAGACTAGACTATAGACTAGACTATAGACTAGACTATAGACTAGACTATAGACTAGACTATAGACTAGACTATAGACTAGACTATAGACTAGACTATAGACTAGACTATATACTAGACTATAGACTAGACTATAGACTAGACTATAGACTAGACTATAGACTAGACTATAGACTAGACTATAGACTAGACTATAGACTAGACTATAGACTAGACTATACTAGACTATAGACTAGACTATAGACTAGACTATAGACTAGACTATAGACTAGACTATAGACTATAGACTAGACTATAGGCTAATCTATTGACTAGACTATAGACTAGTCTATTGACTAGACTATAGACTAGACTACAAAAGGAAAATTCTGAAATACAATTTTTAAAATACTATTAGAAAGTTCTGAAATACGATTGGAAATTGTGTAGACTCTAGTCCTGAATATAGAATAAAACATAGTCTGGGTTATATGCTGAAGTATAGTCTAGACTATAGAGTAGAATATAGCGTTCATGAAATTTATATGGGGATTTAATTCTTTTAAGAACGAGCGTCTTTAAACTCTAGAATTTGGTTTATTTTATCGGTTTATATAAAGAATTCATATTTGTATGTAATAAATAATGTTGAAAGACTTTACAAATCCGATTTCATTTAAAGCTTTTTAAACCACAAATAGTTTAAATATAACATTGAGATGACCACAAAACTGTTAATCGAATAAAAAGTACAGATTATTTTGGAAACTTATAACTGAATCACTGAAACTGAATTAGCTGCAATAAAGGGTTTTGATTTTCTTGCAAATTTGACTTACACTTTCTTCAGCTTATATTTCCCTCTTAATTGAAAATCCTTTTCCAGGCACTGCCCTAGAAAAAGAACTCTATGAAAAACTCTCACTGACCACTTTCATACAACGACTTCTAACACAGCGTTGTGCCAGTTTCTTTGGTCGTAATGATAAATTTTTACTGTTGTCACGTGAGCGAGGTTGCAGTGGTTTTATGGATGTGGGCAAAGCACATGAAAAACCACCTTTAATATTGAAAAATGTTTTAAGCTATGATGAAGTCAAGGTAAGCGATCACAAACCAGCTGTGAGATTATATTAATATGAAAAAATTTTCCCCTAAAGTTATCGGCTTTGTTAAGCGTTTCTTCTCATACGGAGCTGATTAACAATGGTAATCGTCAGAATTGTGGAGTAATAGAGAAAAATAAATCTCTTATAGAGAGATCGGGAGTAGTAGTGGGTATTATAGGGGCCCGTTTAACAAGAAGAGATGTTATGGAATTTCAAGATATTATTATAGCGAAAACACAAAACACTCAAGAAAATGGTTATGGTTTCGGCATAGATGAGGATACTACCAATTCTAAACATAAAGATTATCGTCGTATATGGAAACATTTTTATGAGGAGCCAGACTTTCTGTACAATCAAGTGATTAAGGATGGCAAACGTTTTGGTGCCTCGAAAAATAAAGATGATATTTTTGATAATTTAATAATGAAAAAACGTTATACTATATCCTTTGATACTCTACTGCTCGAGGCTGAGGCTAGGGCTAAGGCTGAAGAAAAACAAGCTTATGTTCATGTAGTGGGTATAGGTTTGGGTGTTTGGAAGGCAGCTGAACAACAAGAACAAATTTTTCTGCAGACCTTTACGCAAAGAGTAAAATATCTATTGCCTCAGTTACAACACATTGGAGTCTTACATTTCTCTTGGTTTTCTTTAAGCGAATGTGGTGAATTGAAAAATGGTTATGTTTTCAAATCGGAAACACATCCTCAGGGTGGTATTAAATGTTTTCTATCGAAAAGAAATCCTGCTGATAAATTAAAAACCCCAGAAAATGATAATATGCTTTTGATTATTTCTTATGCCTGGGATGGTAATGCCTTACCGGGTAATGAGTTTTGGATGGTAAATTTTAAATGATGTCTGCATATAAGTAAACTCTTTATTAAATTAATCTTTATGTTTTCTCTTTAGAAAATGTTAAAATCTACTGGTGATTCTTCTACTGCCTGCAGTACTCTGATAACTGAACTACATAATCCTCATATTAATGATGAATATGTCAATGGTGATAATTTACATGTGGCCACTGAAAAATATGGCATTATACATATAGCTGATTATGCCCAGAAAATGGTCGAATAATAATTTTTGTAGCAAATCTGTAAATATTAAATGTTTTATGTTGCAACATTCTGTTTGTGTTATTTATTGTAAATAATTTATTCTAAACATTGTGCAATATTTTTTTTAATCTAAATAAATAAGTTATTTTTTTCTTTAAACAAAAGCCTTTTAAAAAATTTCCCCTTGAAACACAGTATTCTTTCGTTCCCAAAATTCACGTTACAAACTAAAACTATATCTGGCAACTCATTTTACACAAAAAACTTTTAACCTAAAGCTTTTACACCGGCTGACTCAAATATTTGAGCTTTTCAAAACCACCCAGTTCAATACAACAAGCAACAGTGATGTGGCCAACACTCCCCTCCCACATTTACCATACTCTGGAGTATAGACTATAGTCGGGACTATAGAATATAATCAGGACTATAGTATATAATCGGGACTATAAACTATAGTCGGGGTATAGCATATAGAATATAGTCGGGACTACAGAATATAGTCGGGACTATAGACTATTGTCGGGACTATAGACTATTGTCGGGACTATAGACTATTGTCGGGACTATAGACTATTGTCGGGACTATAGACTATTGTCGGGACTATAGACTATAGTCGGGACTATAGACTATAGTCGGGACTATAGACTATAGTCGGGACTATAGACTATAGTCGGGACTATAGACTATAATCGGGACTATAGACTATAGTCGGGACTATAGACTATAGTCGGGACTATAGACTATAGTCGGGACTATAGACTATAGTCGGGACTATAGACTATAGTCGGGACTATAGACTATAGTCGGGACTATAGACTATAGTCGGGACTATAGACTATAGTCGGGACTATAGACTATAGTCGGGACTATAGTCTATAGTCGGGACTATAAACTATAGTCGGGACTATAGACTATAGTCGGGACTATAGACTAAAGTCGGGACTATAGACTATAGTCGGGACTATAGACTAAAGTCGGGACTATAGACTATAGTCGGGACTATAAACTATAGTCGGGACTATAAACTATAGTCGGGACTATAAACTATAGTCGGGACTATAGTCGAGACTATAGACTATAGTCGGGATTATAGACTATAGTCGGACTATAGCCGGGACTATAGACTATAGTCGGGACTATATACAATAGTCGGGACTATAGACGGGACTACTGACTATAGTCGGGACTATAGAATATAGTCGGGACTATAGAATATAGTCGGGACTATAGTCTAGAATATAGAATATAATCGGGACTATAGACTATAGTCGGGACTATATACTATAGTCGGGACTATATACTATAGTCGGAACTATGGACCAAAGTCGGGACTATATACTATAGTCGCAACTATAGATCATAGCATAGAGACTATATACTATAGTCGGGACTATAGACTATAGTCGGGATTATAGAATATAGTCGTGATTATAGATTATAGTCGGGACTTAGACTAAAGTCTAAACTAAAGACTATAGTCTGGACTGTATACTATAGTGTATAGACTATAATCTGGACTATAGACTATAATTTGGACTGCAGACTATAATCTGAACTATAGACTTTAATCTGAACTTTAGACTATAATCTGGACTATATTCTGGATTATAGACTATAGTCGGGACTATATACTATAATCGGAACTATGGACCAAAGTCGGGACTATATACTATAGTCGGAACTATAGATCATAGCATAGAGACTATATACTATAGTCGGGACTATAGACTATAGTCGGGATTATAGAATATAGTCGTGATTATAGATTATAGTCGGGACTAAGACTAAAGTCTAAACTAAAGACTATAGTCTGGACTGTATACTATAGTGTATAGACTATAATCTGGACTATAGACTATAATTTGGACTACAGACTATAATCTGGACTATATTCTGGATTATAGACTGTAGTATGGACTATATACTATGGTCGGAACTATGGACCATAGTCGGGACTATATACTATAGTCGGAACTATAGACCATAGTATAGAGACTATATACTATAGTCGGGACTATAGACTATAGTCGGGATTATAGAATATAGTCGTGATTATAGATTATAGTCGGGACTAAGACTAAAGTCTAAACTAAAGACTATAGTCTGGACTGTATACTACAGTGTATAGACTATAATCTAGACTATAGACTACAATTTGGACTACAGACTATAATCTGGACTATAGACTTTAATCTGAACTTTAGACTATAATCTGGACTATATTCTGGATTATAGATTGTAGTGTGGACTATAGACTCTAGTTTGCGCTATAAACTAAACTATAAACTGTATTCTTATTCTATCTAGGTTTCTTATATATTATTATTATTATTAAAATAGTTCTTTATCCAAAAATTAGTCACATATCTTCTTTAATTTAGGACATCCTCTAGAAAAACAACTCTATCCTCAACTATCTCTAACCGATTTTGTACAACGTTTGCTAAACAAACGTTGTGTGACGTTTATGGGCTCCGGTGACTTTTATCTGTTAATGTCAGGCCAAAAAGGTACAGCCATAAATAATTATATTAAAGTGGGAACACCTCAAGAAAAGGAGCCCTTAATTTTTAAAGATGTCCTCTCGTACGATGAAGCCAAGGTATTTCTTATCGTTTGTGGTATTCTATAATCTTATTAAATTCCTTAAAAAAAAAGCTTTCAGCCTTTTTATCGGTTACCTCTCTAACGGAGCTAATCAACGATGGTAATCGTAATAATAATGGTGTTATAGAAACAAATGTTAAGTCCATCGAAAGGGAAGGTATTGTAGTGGGTATTATAGGAGCTAGATTTGAAAAGCCTATGGTTATGGAATATCAAGATATTTTAATAACTAAGGAACAAAATCAAGGGAAAAGAGGTTATGGTTTTAATGGTGAAAAGCAGAACGTAGCAGAAGTTGATGACGAAACGAAAAGTGCAATTGAATACCGAAAATTATGGCAGAAATTTTACGAAAGTCCCGATTTCTTATACTCCCAAGTACCTGACAATAATCCAAGATTTACTACTTTAGCAGCGGGCAAATTCGACAATGTTTTAATGAAGAAACGTTATGCCGTAACCTTTGACACCCTGCTGCTAGAGAGCCAGGCGAGAGCAGAAAAATTTAAGAAACAAGCCTATATACATATAGTAGGCATAGGTTTGGGTGTTTGGAAAATATCTGGAGATCAAACTAAAATATTTTTGGAATGTTTTAGCCAACGTGTTAAATATTTACTGCCAAAGCTGAATAATATTGGTGCCCTACATTTCTCCTGGTTCCATATGACAGAATGGCGGGATTTGAAACATAATGGTTTTATCGAATCCAAAACACATCCCCTAGGAGGCATTCAAACTTTTTTGTCCAATCGTAATCCCAATGACAAATTACCTCAGGAATTTAAGGATATGTTATTGGTGGTGTCATATGCCTGGGATGGTAATGCTTTGCCGGGCAATGAATTTTGGGTGGTAAGTAAAGGAGTTAGATATATTGGAATATTTTATAATTTCTTAAATTTTTAAGGGTTCTTTAAGTGGATCCAATGATCCTTCTACTGCCTGCAGTACCTTAATATCAGAACTTCATAATCCTCACATTAATGAGGAGTATGTTAATGGTAAAAATTTACATATTGCATCGGGGGAATATGGTATCTTGCATATACAGGAGTTTACCAAGAAAGTTTTGGAAAGAGAGTAAAGTTTTCTAATGGAAATATTTAAATTTATTTGATAAATAAAGAAACTACTTAATGAAAAATCCAAACTGTTGTAGTGATTAATTTGGGAGTAAATAAAGTTCTATAATTAGGCTATAGATTATAGTCTGGACTATAGACTATAGTCTGGACTATAGACTATAGTCTGGACTATAGACTATAGTCTGGACTATAGGCTATAGTCTGGACTATAGGCTATATTCTGGCTATAGTATGGACTATAGACTCGACTATAGACTATTATCTGGATTATAAACTATAGTCCGGACTATAGACTATAGTTGGGACTATATACTATAGTCGAAACTATAGACTATAGTCGGGATTATATACTAAAGTCGGAACTATAGACTATAGTCGCGACTATATACTATATGCGAAACTATATACTATAGTAGGGACTATAGACTATAGTCGGGACTATAGACTATAGCCGGGAATATAGACTATAGTCGGGACTATATACAATAGTCGCGACAATAGACTATAGTCGGGACTGTAGAGTATATCTCGGTACTATAGATTATAGTCTCGACTATAAGCTATAGTTTGAACTATTGACTACAGTCTGGACTATAGACTATTGTATGGACCACAGACCATAATCTGGACTATAGTCTGTAGTCTGGACTATAGTCTGTAGTCTGGACTATAGACTAAAGTCTGGACTATAGACTATAGTCTGCACTATAGACTATAGTCTGCACTATAGACTATAGTCTGTAGTCTGGACTATAGTCTGGATTATAGTCTATAGTCAGGACTACAGACTATAGTCTGGGCTATAGACTACAGCCTGGACCATAGACTATAGTCTGGACTATTGACTATAGTCTGGACTATTGACTTCAGTCTGGACTATTGATTATAGTCTGGAATATAGACCATAGCCTGGAATATGGACCATAGTCTGGACTACAGACTATAGTCTGAACTATAGACTATAGTCTGGACAATATACTATAGTCTGGACTATAGTCTATAGTCTGGACTATAGTCTATAGTTCAGACTATAGTCTATAGTTCAGACTATAGTCTATAGTTCAGACTATAGACTATAGTCTCGACTATACACTATAGTCTGAACTATAGACTATATTCTGGACTATACGCCATAGTCTGGACACTATAGAGTACAATATATACTATGCATTTGGACTAATATAAATTCCATGTTTTTTGGGGGAAAATTTAATCCCATATTTTCTTAAAAAAATAAACTGGCAACACCTATAAAACAGATGCCGGCTGATAAGAAAGTTTAATGAAAGTATTTGTATGAGTTGCATTAACTGTATTTGTGAAATAAGGCATGTATACATATAAATATATAGTATAGATTTTTTGGAACCAAAAACAACAATGGAATAAATGAAGTATGTATGTGAAACTTATTCAAGAAACAGATACCAAAAACAAACGTTCTTACGCAGTTACAGAGAACAACATAAACAATAAAGAGTTAATAATCAAAATAAAAACCAATTTTTTTATTAGATACCGAAATTATTATCGATCAGTATTTTGAATTTATTATTATCGGAAAAAAAAATGTCTATATTTGGCAGAGAATTTGAAAAAGATTGGCCTTTATATGATTTCACTAAAAATCTAACAAATTTTGGTTATGAACTTTTACAAAAATGTTTGAGCGTAGAAAAACCAAAAATAAAAAAATTGAAATTTTGGAATTTCTACAAAAATCGGAGGAATTTCCTGTAGAGGTAAGTTAAACCTTAAAAAATTTTTTCATAAATCGAGAATTTTTTAAGAATTTTTGTTAACAGTTTCCCGTAAATACATGTCGTGTAAAATCGCAAAAAATCGAACGTCTTCCCTTTATACTTCGGCAAATTGAATCTGCCTATCCGGTAGTACATGAAAAGGTGGTGTATTTGATAATAGATTTTCTGGAGCACAAATTAAAGTATGGTAAGTTTTAAAAGACATGGCAACTTTAAAAGAAAAGCTTTTTTGTAGGTGAAAATTTAAATCACAAAAATCCCCTATTAACATTTACTATAGTGGGGACTACAGACTTTAGTGGGGACTATAGACTATAGTCGGGACTATAAACTATAGTCGGGACTATAGACTATAGTCGAGGCTATAGTTGGGACTATAGATTATAGTCGAGTCTAGAGACTATTGTCGGGACTATAGACTAGTGTCTGGACTATAGACTATCGCCTGGACTATAAACTATATTCGGTCTATATAGTCGGGGCTATAGACTATAGTCGGGACTATAGACTATAGTCGGGACTATAGTCGGGACTATAGACTATAGTCGGGACTATAGTCGGGACTACAGACTAGTCAGGACGGGATTAAAGACTATAGTCGGGACTCCAGACTAGTCAGGACGGAACTAAAGACTATAGTCGGGACTATAGTCTATAGTTGGGACTATAAACTATAGTTGGGACTATAAACTATAGTCGGGACTATAGACTATAGTCGGGACTATAGACTATAGTCGGGACTATAGACTATAGTCGGGACTATAGACTATAGTCGGGACTATAGACTATAGTCGGGACTATAGACTATAGTCGGGACTATAGACTATAGTCGGGACTATAGACTATAGTCGGGACTATAGACTATAGTCGGGACTATAGACTATAGTCGGGACTATAGACTATAGTCAGGACTATAGACTATAGTCAGGACTATAGACTACAGTCGGGACTATAGACTATAGTCGGGACTATAGACTACAGTCGGGACTATAGACTATAGTCGGGACTATAGACTTTAGTCGGGACTATAGACTATAGTCGGGACTATAGACTATAGTCGGGACTATAGACTATAGTCGGGACTGTAGACTATAGTCGGGACTATAGACTATAGTCGGGACTATAGACTATAGTCGGGACTATAGACTATAGTCGGGACTATAGACTATAGTCGGGACTATAGACTATAGTCGGGACTATAGACTATAGTCGGGACTATAGACTATAGTCGGGACTATAGACTATAGTCGGGACTATAGACTATAGTCGGGACTATAGACTATAGTCGGGACTATAGTCTATAGTCCCGACTATAGTCTATAGTCCCGACTATAGTCTAAGTCCGACTATAGTCTTAGTCCCGACTAAGTCTATAGTCCCGACTATGTCTATAGTCCCGACTATAGTCTAGAGTCCGACTATAGTAGCCCGACTATAGTCTACAGTCCCGACTATAGTCTATAGTCCCGACTATAGTCTATAGTCCCGACTATAGTCTATAGTCCCGACTAAAGTCTATAGTCCCGACTATAGTCTATAGTCCCGACTGTAGTCTATAGTCCCGACTATAGTCTATAGTCCCGACTGTAGTCTATAGTCCTGACTATAGTCTATAGTCCTGACTATAGTCTATAGTCCCGACTATAGTCTATAGTCCCGACTATAGTCTATAGTCCCGACTATAGTCTATAGTCCCGACTATAGTCTATAGTCCCGACTATAGTCTATAGTCCCGACTATAGTCTATAGTCCCGACTATAGTCTATAGTCCCGACTATAGTCTATAGTCCCGACTATAGTCTATAGTCCCGACTATAGTCTATAGTCCCGACTATAGTTTATAGTCCCAACTATAGTTTATAGTCCCAACTATAGACTATAGTCCCGACTATAGTCTTTAGTTCCGTCCTGACTAGTCTGGAGTCCCGACTATAGTCTTTAATCCGTCCTGACTAGTCTGTAGTCCCGACTATAGTCCCGACTATAGTCTATAGTCCCGACTATAGTCCCGACTATAGTCTATAGTCCCGACTATAGTCTATAGCCCCGACTATATAGACCGAATATAGTTTATAGTCCAGGCGATAGTCTATAGTCCAGACACTAGTCTATAGTCCCGACAATAGTCTCTAGACTCGACTATAATCTATAGTCCCAACTATAGCCTCGACTATAGTCTATAGTCCCGACTATAGTTTATAGTCCCGACTATAGTCTATAGTCCCCACTAAAGTCTGTAGTCCCCACTATAGTAAATGTTAATAGGGGATTTTTGTGATTTAAATTTTCACCTACAAAAAAGCTTTTCTCTTTTAAAGTTGCCATGTCTTTTAAAACTTACCATACTTTAATTTGTGCTCCAGAAAATCTATTATCAAATACACCACCTTTTCATGTACTACCGGATAGGCAGATTCAATTTGCCGAAGTATAAAGGGAAGACGTTCGATTTTTTGCGATTTTACACGACATGTATTTACGGGAAACTGTTAACAAAAATTCTTAAAAATTCTCGATTTATGAAAAAATTTTTAAGGTTTAACTTACCTCTACAGGAAATTCCTCCGATTTTTGTAGAAATTCCAAAATTTCAATTTTTTTATTTTTTGGTTTTTCTACGCTCAAACATTTTTGTAAAAGTTCATAACCAAAATTTGTTAGATTTTTAGTGAAATCATATAAAGGCCAATCTTTTTCAAATTCTCTGCCAAATATAGACATTTTTTTTCCGATAATAATATTCAAATACTGATCGATAATAATTTCGGTATCTAATAAAAAATTGGTTTTTATTTTGATTATTAACTCTTTATTGTTTATGTTGTTCTCTGTAACTGCGTAAGAACGTTTGTTTTTGGTATCTGTTTCTTGAATAAGTTTCACATACATACTTCATTTATTCCATTGTTGTTTTTGGTTCCAAAAATCTATACTATATATTTATGTATACATGCCTTATTTCACAAATACAGTTAATGCAACTCATACAAATACTTTCATTAAACTTTCTTATCAGCCGGCATCTGTTTTATAGGTGTTGCCAGTTTATTTTTTTAAGAAAAAATGGGATTAAATTTTCCCCCAAAAAACATGGAATTTATATTAGTCCAAATGCATATATATTGTACTCTAGTGTCCAGACTATGGCGTATAGTCCAGAATATAGTCTATAGTTCAGACTATAGTGTATAGTCGAGACTATAGTCTATAGTCTGAACTATAGACTATAGTCTGAACTATAGACTATAGTCTGAACTATAGACTATAGTCCAGACTATAGACTATAGTCCAGACTATAGTATATTGTCCAGACTATAGTCTATAGTTCAGACTATAGTCTGTAGTCCAGACTATGGTCCATATTCCAGGCTATGGTCTATATTCCAGACTATAATCAATAGTCCAGACTGAAGTCAATAGTCCAGACTATAGTCAATAGTCCAGACTATAGTCTATGGTCCAGGCTGTAGTCTATAGCCCAGACTATAGTCTGTAGTCCTGACTATAGACTATAATCCAGACTATAGTCCAGACTACAGACTATAGTCTATAGTGCAGACTATAGTCTATAGTGCAGACTATAGTCTATAGTCCAGACTTTAGTCTATAGTCCAGACTACAGACTATAGTCCAGACTACAGACTATAGTCCAGATTATGGTCTGTGGTCCATACAATAGTCTATAGTCCAGACTGTAGTCAATAGTTCAAACTATAGCTTATCGAGACTATAATCTATAGTACCGAGATATACTCTACAGTCCCGACTATAGTCTATTGTCGCGACTATTGTATATAGTCCCGACTATAGTCTATATTCCCGGCTATAGTCTATAGTCCCGACTATAGTCTATAGTCCCTACTATAGTATATAGTTTCGCATATAGTATATAGTCGCGACTATAGTCTATAGTTCCGACTTTAGTATATAATCCCGACTATAGTCTATAGTTTCGACTATAGTATATAGTCCCAACTATAGTCTATAGTCCGGACTATAGTTTATAATCCAGATAATAGTCTATAGTCGAGTCTATAGTCCATACTATAGCCAGAATATAGCCTATAGTCCAGACTATAGCCTATAGTCCAGACTATAGTCTATAGTCCAGACTATAGTCTATAGTCCAGACTATAGTCTATAGTCCAGACTATAATCTATAGCCTAATTATAGAACTTTATTTACTCCCAAATTAATCACTACAACAGTTTGGATTTTTCATTAAGTAGTTTCTTTATTTATCAAATAAATTTAAATATTTCCATTAGAAAACTTTACTCTCTTTCCAAAACTTTCTTGGTAAACTCCTGTATATGCAAGATACCATATTCCCCCGATGCAATATGTAAATTTTTACCATTAACATACTCCTCATTAATGTGAGGATTATGAAGTTCTGATATTAAGGTACTGCAGGCAGTAGAAGGATCATTGGATCCACTTAAAGAACCCTTAAAAATTTAAGAAATTATAAAATATTCCAATATATCTAACTCCTTTACTTACCACCCAAAATTCATTGCCCGGCAAAGCATTACCATCCCAGGCATATGACACCACCAATAACATATCCTTAAATTCCTGAGGTAATTTGTCATTGGGATTACGATTGGACAAAAAAGTTTGAATGCCTCCTAGGGGATGTGTTTTGGATTCGATAAAACCATTATGTTTCAAATCCCGCCATTCTGTCATATGGAACCAGGAGAAATGTAGGGCACCAATATTATTCAGCTTTGGCAGTAAATATTTAACACGTTGGCTAAAACATTCCAAAAATATTTTAGTTTGATCTCCAGATATTTTCCAAACACCCAAACCTATGCCTACTATATGTATAGGCTTGTTTCTTAAATTTTTCTGCTCTCGCCTGGCTCTCTAGCAGCAGGGTGTCAAAGGTTACGGCATAACGTTTCTTCATTAAAACATTGTCGAATTTGCCCGCTGCTAAAGTAGTAAATCTTGGATTATTGTCAGGTACTTGGGAGTATAAGAAATCGGGACTTTCGTAAAATTTCTGCCATAATTTTCGGTATTCAATTGCACTTTTCGTTTCGTCATCAACTTCTGCTACGTTCTGCTTTTCACCATTAAAACCATAACCTCTTTTCCCTTGATTTTGTTCCTTAGTTATTAAAATATCTTGATATTCCATAACCATAGGCTTTTCAAATCTAGCTCCTATAATACCCACTACAATACCTTCCCTTTCGATGGACTTAACATTTGTTTCTATAACACCATTATTATTACGATTACCATCGTTGATTAGCTCCGTTAGAGAGGTAACCGATAAAAAGGCTGAAAGCTTTTTTTTTAAGGAATTTAATAAGATTATAGAATACCACAAACGATAAGAAATACCTTGGCTTCATCGTACGAGAGGACATCTTTAAAAATTAAGGGCTCCTTTTCTTGAGGTGTTCCCACTTTAATATAATTATTTATGGCTGTACCTTTTTGGCCTGACATTAACAGATAAAAGTCACCGGAGCCCATAAACGTCACACAACGTTTGTTTAGCAAACGTTGTACAAATCGGTTAGAGATAGTTGAGGATAGAGTTGTTTTTCTAGAGGATGTCCTAAATTAAAGAAGATATGTGACTAATTTTTGGATAAAGAACTATTTTAATAATAATAATATATAGAAACCTAGATAGAATAAGAATACAGTTTATAGTTTAGTTTATAGCGCAAACTAGAGTCTATAGTCCACACTACAATCTATAATCCAGAATATAGTCCAGATTATAGTCTAAAGTTCAGATTAAAGTCTATAGTCCAGATTATAGTCTGTAGTCCAAATTGTAGTCTATAGTCTAGATTATAGTCTATACACTGTAGTATACAGTCCAGACTATAGTCTTTAGTTTAGACTTTAGTCTTAGTCCCGACTATAATCTATAATCACGACTATATTCTATAATCCCGACTATAGTCTATAGTCCCGACTATAGTATATAGTCTCTATACTATGGTCTATAGTTCCGACTATAGTATATAGTCCCGACTATGGTCCATAGTTCCGACCATAGTATATAGTCCATACTACAGTCTATAATCCAGAATATAGTCCAGATTATAGTCTGTAGTCCAAATTATAGTCTATAGTCCAGATTATAGTCTATACACTATAGTATACAGTCCAGACTATAGTCTTTAGTTTAGACTTTAGTCTTAGTCCCGACTATAATCTATAATCACGACTATATTCTATAATCCCGACTATAGTCTATAGTCCCGACTATAGTATATAGTCTCTATGCTATGATCTATAGTTCCGACTATAGTATATAGTCCCGACTTTGGTCCATAGTTCCGATTATAGTATATAGTCCCGACTATAGTCTATAATCCAGAATATAGTCCAGATTATAGTCTAAAGTTCAGATTAAAGTCTATAGTTCAGATTATAGTCTGCAGTCCAAATTATAGTCTATAGTCCAGATTATAGTCTATACACTATAGTATACAGTCCAGACTATAGTCTTTAGTTTAGACTTTAGTCTAAGTCCCGACTATAATCTATAATCACGACTATATTCTATAATCCCGACTATAGTCTATAGTCCCGACTATAGTATATAGTCTCTATGCTATGATCTATAGTTGCGACTATAGTATATAGTCCCGACTTTGGTCCATAGTTCCGACTATAGTATATAGTCCCGACTATAGTATATAGTCCCGACTATAGTCTATAGTCCCGATTATATTCTATATTCTAGACTATAGTCCCGACTATATTCTATAGTCCCGACTATATTCTATAGTCCCGACTATAGTCAGTAGTCCCGTCTATAGTCCCGACTATTGTATATAGTCCCGACTATAGTCTATAGTCCCGGCTATAGTCCGACTATAGTCTATAATCCCGACTATAGTCTATAGTCTCGACTATAGTCCCGACTATAGTTTTAGTCCCGACTATAGTTTATAGTCCCGACTATAGTTTATAGTCCCGACTATAGTCTATAGTCCCGACTTTAGTCTATAGTCCCGACTATAGTCTATAGTCCCGACTTTAGTCTATAGTCCCGACTATAGTCTATAGTCCCGACTATAGTTTATAGTCCCGACTATAGACTATAGTCCCGACTATAGTCTATAGTCCCGACTATAGTCTATAGTCCCGACTATAGTCTATAGTCCCGACTATAGTCTATAGTCCCGACTATAGTCTATAGTCCCGACTATAGTCTATAGTCCCGACTATAGTCTATAGTCCCGACTATAGTCTATAGTCCCGACTATAGTCTATAGTCCCGATTATAGTCTATAGTCCCGACTATAGTCTATAGTCCCGACTATAGTCTATAGTCCCGACTATAGTCTATAGTCCCGACTATAGTCTATAGTCCCGACAATAGTCTATAGTCCCGACAATAGTCTATAGTCCCGACAATAGTCTATAGTCCCGACAATAGTCTATAGTCCCGACAATAGTCTATAGTCCCGACTATATTCTGTAGTCCCGACTATATTCTATATGCTATACCCCGACTATAGTTTATAGTCCCGATTATATACTATAGTCCTGATTATATTCTATAGTCCCGACTATAGTCTATACTCCAGAGTATGGTAAATGTGGGAGGGGAGTGTTGGCCACATCACTGTTGCTTGTTGTATTGAACTGGGTGGTTTTGAAAAGCTCAAATATTTGAGTCAGCCGGTGTAAAAGCTTTAGGTTAAAAGTTTTTTGTGTAAAATGAGTTGCCAGATATAGTTTTAGTTTGTAACGTGAATTTTGGGAACGAAAGAATACTGTGTTTCAAGGGGAAATTTTTTAAAAGGCTTTTGTTTAAAGAAAAAATAACTTATTTATTTAGATTAAAAAAAATATTGCACAATGTTTAGAATAAATTATTTACAATAAATAACACAAACAGAATGTTGCAACATAAAACATTTAATATTTACAGATTTGCTACAAAAATTATTATTCGACCATTTTCTGGGCATAATCAGCTATATGTATAATGCCATATTTTTCAGTGGCCACATGTAAATTATCACCATGACTAGTCATCTTAAATTGAGGATTATGTAGTTCAGTTATCAGAGTACGCAGGCAGTAGAAGAATCACCAGTAGATTTTAACATTTTCTAAAGAGAAACATAAAGATTATTTAAATAAAGAGGTTTACTTATATGCAGACATCATTTAAAATTTACCATCCAAAACTCATTACCCGGTAAGGGCATTACCACCCAGGCATAAGAAATAATCAAAAGCATATTATCATTTTCTGGTTTTTAATTTATCAGCAGGATTTCTTTTCGATAGAAAACATTTAATACCACCCTGAGGATGTGTTTCCGATTTGAAAACATAACCATTTTTCAATTCACCACATTCGCTTAAAGAAAACCAAGAGAAATGTAAGACTCCAATGTGTTGTAACTGAGGCAATAGAATTTTACTCTTTGCGTAAAGGTCTGCAGAAAAATTTGTTCTTGTGTTCAGCTGCCTTCCAAACACCCAAACCTATACCCACTACATGAACATAGCTTGTTTTTCTTCAGCCTTAGCCCTAGCCTCAGCCTCGAGCAGTAGAGTATCAAAGGATATAGTTATAACGTTTTTTCATTATTAAATTATCAAAAATATCATCTTTATTTTTCGAGGCACCAAAACGTTTGCCATCCTTAATCACTTGATTGTACAGAAAGTCTGGCTCCTCATAAAAATGTTTCCATATACGACGATAATCTTTATGTTTAGAATTGGTAGTATCCTCATCTATGCCGAAACCATAACCATTTCTTGAGTGTTTTGTGTTTCGCTAATATAATCTTGAAATTCCATAACATCTCTTCTTGTTAAACGGGCCCCTATAATACCCACTACTACTCCCGATCTCTCTATAAGAGATTTATTTTTCTCTATTACTCCACAATTCTGACGATTACCATTGTTAATCAGCTCCGTATGAGAAGAAACGCTTAACAAAGCCGATAACTTTAGGGGAAAATTTTTTCATATTAATATAATCTCACAGCTGGTTTGTGATCGCTTACCTTGACTTCATCATAGCTTAAAACATTTTTCAATATTAAAGGTGGTTTTTCATGTGCTTTGCCCACATCCATAAAACCACTGCAACCTCGCTCACGTGACAACAGTAAAAATTTATCATTACGACCAAAGAAACTGGCACAACGCTGTGTTAGAAGTCGTTGTATGAAAGTGGTCAGTGAGAGTTTTTCATAGAGTTCTTTTTCTAGGGCAGTGCCTGGAAAAGGATTTTCAATTAAGAGGGAAATATAAGCTGAAGAAAGTGTAAGTCAAATTTGCAAGAAAATCAAAACCCTTTATTGCAGCTAATTCAGTTTCAGTGATTCAGTTATAAGTTTCCAAAATAATCTGTACTTTTTATTCGATTAACAGTTTTGTGGTCATCTCAATGTTATATTTAAACTATTTGTGGTTTAAAAAGCTTTAAATGAAATCGGATTTGTAAAGTCTTTCAACATTATTTATTACATACAATATGAATTCTTTATATAAACCGATAAAATAAACCAAATTCTAGAGTTTAAAGACGCTCGTTCTTAAAAGAATTAAATCCCCATATAAATTTCATGAACGCTATATTCTACTCTATAGTCTAGACTATACTTCAGCATATAACCCAGACTATGTTTTATTCTATATTCAGGACTAGAGTCTACACAATTTCCAATCGTATTTCAGAACTTTCTAATAGTATTTTAAAAATTGTATTTCAGAATTTTCCTTTTGTAGTCTAGTCTATAGTCTAGTCAATAGACTAGTCTATAGTCTAGTCAATAGATTAGCCTATAGTCTAGTCTATAGTCTATAGTCTAGTCTATAGTCTAGTCTATAGTCTAGTCTATAGTCTAGTCTATAGTCTAGTATATAGTCTAGTCTATAGTCTAGTCTATAGTCTAGTCTATAGTCTAGTCTATAGTCTAGTCTATAGTCTAGTCTATAGTCTAGTCTATAGTCTAGTCTATAGTCTAGTATATAGTCTAGTCTATAGTCTAGTCTATAGTCTAGTCTATAGTCTAGTCTATAGTCTAGTCTATAGTCTAGTCTATAGTCTAGTCTATAGTCTAGTCTATAGTCTAGTCTATAGTCTAGTCTATAGTCTAGTCTATAGTCTAGTCTATAGTCTAGTCTATAGTCTAGTCTATATTCTAGTCTATAGTCTAGTCTATATTCTAGTCTATAGTCTAGTCTATATTCTAGTCTATAGTCTAGTCTATATTCTAGTCTATAGTCTAGTCTATAGTCTAGTCTATAGTCTAGTCTATAGTCTAGTCTATAGTCTAGTCTATAGTCTAGTCTATCTAGTCTATAGTCTAGTCTATAGTCTAGTCTATAGTCTAGTCTATAGTCTAGTCTATAGTCTAGTCTATAGTCTAGTCTATAGTCTAGTCTATAGTCTAGTCTATAGTCTAGTCTATAGTCTAGTCTATAGTCTAGTCTATAGTCTAGTC